GATGCGGGACTCGATCCCAGGACCCAGAAATCATGACCTGAGCAGAAGGCAGATGCTTAACGACTGAGCCACCCAGGAGCCCCAGTGACTATTTTTTCATTAAAAAAATTTTAGGGGTGCCTGGCTAGCTCAGTTAGTGGAGCATGCGACTCTTGTTCTTAGGGTTGTGAGTTCAAGCCCCATGTTCGGTGTAGAGATTACTTAAAAAAATAAAATCTTAAAAAAAAAATTTAGGGGCTCCACGGTGGCTCAGTTGCTTAAGCGTCCAATTGATTTTGGCTCAGGTCATGATCTCAGGCTCATGAGATTGAGCCCTGTGTCTGCTTTTCTCCCTCTCCCTTTACCCCTCCACCTCCACCCCTGGGCACACTATCTCCAAAATAAATAAATAAATCTTAAAAAAAAAAAATCTTAGATGGGGCACGTGGGTGGCTCAGATAGTTAAGCGTCTGCCTTCAGCTCAGGTTATGATGTCAAGGTCCTGGGATCAAGCACCTCATCGGGCTCCCTACTCAGTGGGGAGTCTGCTTCTCTCTCTTCCTCTGCCTCTTCCCTCTGCTTGTGCTCGCTAGCTCACTCTCAAATGAATAATGAATAAATAAACTCTTCAAAAAATTTTTTTAAAAATCTTAGACATAGTTTTTATTTAAATCACACATTGCTCTTATAAGCACACACATAGGAAAATGTAATCAAAATGTATTAAGATAATCCTAAAACTTTACATTTCAGAGTCCAACACGTCTCTGTCACTTCTTTATTTCAAATTGTCAAGGTCCCTGGTTTTCTCCATGGTATTATCTCCTGTCCAGTAACCATTTATTAAATGAATGAATGAATTTGATATTTTTTTATATTATAACTAAAGAATTTTATAACACCAACACAGCATATTGTATGGACCCAAATTTGAGGACAACCAAAACAGTTACTAAGGAACTTATAAAAAATTTCCTTCACCTGAATTTTAAATGTGAATTTTTTCTTTTTTTTTTTTTTTAAAGATTTTATTTTTTGACAGAGAGACAGCGAGAGAGGGAACACAAGCAGGGGGAGTGGGAGAGGGAGAAGCAGGCCTCCCACAGAGCAGGGAGCCCAATGCGGGACTCGATCCCAGGACCCTGGGATCATGACCTGAGCTGAAGGCAGACGCTTAACGACTGAGCCACCCAGGTGCCCCAAAATGTGAATTTTTTCTGAAGTTTCAGTCTGAGCTCCCAAGGAGCTTTTTTGTTTGGGTAATGTCTGGCAAATAATAGGCACTTAATAAGTCTTACCCATTTTTGTTTGGGCAATATCTGGCAAATAATAGGTACTTAATAAGTGCTTGATAAATGCACACTTACCAGTTGTGAAGAAAGTAAAGATGATACTGCCAACCAAGTTGGTAAGGAGAGGTTGCCTGCAGTATTGGGAAGATCTGGGCCTAAAATCAATACACAGGTCATTAATTTATCAATTATTAGAAGAAATTCACCCTATAAGCACGATACCAGAAGGCACTAACCATTGAATTCTAATTCTAATTCCGGCCCGAGGTTCATTTGGCTGCAGGCAACTCATTTAAGAACCTTCGTTCCTGGGGCGCCTGGGTGGCTCAGTCGTTTAGCATCTGCCTTCGGCTCAGGTCATGATCCCAGGGTCCTGGGATCGAGCCGCACATCGGGTTCCTTGCTCGGCAGGGAAGCCTGCTTCTCCCTCTCCCATGGCCCCTGCTTGTGTTCCCTCTCTCGCTGTCTCTCTCTCTCTGTCAAAAAATAAATAAAAATCTTAAAAAAAAAAAAAAAGAACCTTCGTTCCTGGGGCACCTGAGTGGCTCAGAGGGTTAAGCATCTGCCTTCAGCTCAGGTCATGATCTCAGGGTCCTGGGATCGAGCCCTACGTCGGGCTCCCAGCTCGGTGGGGAGTCTGCTTCTCCCTCTCCCTCTGCTTCTCCCCCTGTGTGTGCTCTCTCTCTCCCAAATGAATAAATAAAATCTTTAAAAAAAAAAGAACCTTCGTTCCTTTACAGTGACTGCAAATTAATAGTGTGAAAACAGCCCACAAGTAGTGTAAGAGTTAACATTTACAATTGGTGGACAAATAATGTTTATCATCTTTCTAATTCATGTTAACCAGATATTTTGGTGAGAAAATATCTTGTGGAAATTCTGGCCTTCTGGAGTAAGGAAATAGGCCTTACTGCACACAAAACTCCTATGACAGACGTTGGCAAGTTTAAACTAGGCTAATTACAGTGAGTATCACAGTTCCTTTTCTTGTCACTTAAGTAGATTCTCGGTTTTCAGATTGTTTTAGAATTTCCACATTTTTAGAGCTACAGTTTTTTTATTTTGATGTATCAAATGGCATTTGCTTCATTTGTCCAGTTACTAGCTGACTTTTTCTGGCAAGACTAATGTCCTCCATAGAATCTAAAATAATATATCAAGTCCCAATCTGGTCACATATGTCTGTGTCACCCTCAGCCCTGCAGACGTTAGCTCATGTGAGGCTGTCAGGACTGGTCTCTAGGGAATCCATACGTTGAAATGTTGGTGCCCTCGTCTCCCATTTAATGGCTTCTTGTACCAGAAGAAATTGTGTTAAGTTAAACTCAGTCTGCCCTATTCCCAGCTATTCTTTTGGTATTGAGATTTTTGACTTTCCAAAGAGGTAAAGCAGGTAACTACCATTGATAATAGGGGCAGAAGCAATGAGGCAGGCTGCAGTTAAACACGTAACAGGAATCTCAGAGCATACCCCAACCATCTCCAGAGGTAAGACCTGCATGCTGGGCTGCCGAGTAAGGGGGTTGGTGGTGAAAGAACTTACCTTAGCAGAACATACAACTGGAGGACCAGAGCGGTGATCCCAAACAAGAACACTGTCACTTGCTGCATGGGACACAGCGAGTTACATTTTACGTTACTTCTTTAGTGATAAAATGGCTTCAAGAAACTAAATTTATGGGGTGTCTGGGTGGCTCAGTCATTAAGCGTATGCCTTCAGCTCAGGTCATGATCCCAGAGTCCTGGGATCGAGCCCCGCATCGGACTCCCTGCTCAGTGGGGAGCCTGCTTCTCCCTCTGCCTCTCCCCCTGCTTGTGCTCTCTATCACTCTCTCAAATAAATAAATAAAATCTTAAAAAAAGAAACCAAATTTAGGTTCTGTTTCATAACAACGTTACATTAAACCATGGAGATAAAGTTTTAAACACAACAAGGATGACTTGAGATCATCCCATTAGAGCAAAATTATGTCTAATAATACTTCACTAAGAATAATGGCTACCATTTATTGAGCTCCTACTATGTAGCAGGCGCTGTTGATACTGGTCTCTAAGGAATCTTTAGAACTTTTGTTCCTTTACCATGACTATAATTTAATGCTGTAAGACAACCCACGGGTAATAGTAAAAGTTAATATTCATCATTAGTAAACAAATGTGTCAAACATTTTTTATTCACTTTCTCATTTAATATGCATAAAATCTGGAGTGCCTGGGTGGCTCAGTTGGTTGGGCGTCCAACTCTTGGTTTCAGCTCTGGTCGTGATCTCAGGGCTGTGAGATTGAGCCCCATGTCAGGCTCCACGCTCAGCAGGGAGTCTGCTTGAGATTCTTTCCCTCTCCCTCTCTGCTTCCCCCCTCCCCCCAGCTCAGTCTCTCTCTCTCTTTCAAATAAATGAATAAATAAGATCTTTAAAAAAATATGCACAAAATCCTATGAGGTAGGGACTGTGGTTCCCCATTTTATTGAGGAAACCGAGACTCAGAATGATGAAGTGTCCTGTCCAAGGACAAACACTGAGTAGTGATAGAGCTAGAATTTTGAACCAGGTCTGAGAGTCTTAACCATGCCTCTGTGCTGCGCTAGCTCTGTTCTGGCCGGATGGTTCACACTGAGTGTAACTAATAAACAGAGTACCACAACTTACACAACCAAATGAAGTCTGCTGTTCCTGCTCATTTTTGAAATTCTTTTGAGATTATGTGTACATAGTTTCCATGCATATAAGAAAATCTTCTGCAATAACTAATAGTTCTCTTCACCATAAGCTGTATTATTTACCTTAATTATTTTATTAATCAGGTTTAACAATGAAAGAGTTTAGGGTATTTGTAGAAATCAAATCTACCCTCCAAAAACAAAGATTTATCCCCATTGATGGGGGTGCCTGGGTGGCTCAGTCGTTGGGCGTCTGCCTTCGCGCTCAGGTCATGATCCCAGGGTCCTGGGATCAAGCCCTGCATCGAGCTCCCTGCTCTGCGGGAGGCCTGCTTCTCCCTCTCCCACTCCCTCTGCTTGTGTTCCCTCTCTCGCTGTGTCTTTCTCTGTCAAATAAATTTTAAAAATCTTAAAAAAAAAAAAAAAGATTTATCCCCATTGAAAGTACTAAAAAAAAAACCAGACAATTTTAAAAGACCCCCAGACTGGTAATCGCACATTGTTACAACTAGGATATAGTTATAGGCTTAATGTGACTATTTTGGAAGGAATAGCATCTTTTTAGGGGTATAAATTCTGATCAGTTGTCAAGTCAATCATATTATTTTAACAGTCAGCCAATATAGATTTAATCATATTGAGCATTTCTGAAATGTGACAAGAAAAGACAGTTAACTATTTTTTTAAATGTTAACATTTAAAAAACTGGCTTAATGTTTACAAAATATTTCATTAATGTTTACATATCAGGTTTTAAAACTTAAGAGTCAGTAGTTATGTCAAGTACACCTGTTTTTTATAAAATGATTTAAAAATTGAAAATAAATTTTAGTTAAACGTTGAGACTGTCTCAGGAAGAAATGGGCTTTTTGTCATCGAGAGCTGGGGAGGGACACTTACAGCCTGAGCCGGCGTGATCTCGGCAGCCAGCCGTGCAGGTGATACGCTGTGTGGGCCAGACAGAAGTGAATCATGGGGACGCTGGTCCTTGAGCACCTGGAGCAGGGCACGGAGGATCCAGAGCAGCCCTGTTAGAGCTCCCAAACTACTTCTCCCCCCATTTGTCCTCAGCTTGTCCCGCTTCCCAGTGCAAGTACTCTGGTACCCTGCAGTGATCCAGAGGAAGTACTTTTCCTTGGAGAGGGACAGATCCTTGTTCTTCTAAAGCCACCCTGGGCTATGATGGACGCTCACTGTAACTTAATTCTTCTGTGGTTTTGAAGGTCCTAGCTCAAGTTGGCTGTGTTCACGGGGAATTAATAAAACCAAGCTGGATATTTGAGATGGGTTGAATGTGACAAGGGAGAAAACTTCCTTTAGCTGAGAGATCAGCTTCCCCCAGCCCCTTTCCCAGCCTTTCCCCTGGGGAGGACCTGGAAACCTGAGTGCATCCCCAAGGTTGGGGAAGGACTCCAAGCTCTTTGTTCTGTCCTTCCCTGAACGGCAGGCAGCTCCCTTGGGGACCCATACCTCCTGTTCTTAGCTTTATTGTTCTTGCGGCTCACAGCACAGTCTCCGGGCGGGGGTGGGGGCGGGGGGAGCGGTGCCTGAAGCTTGAGGTGGGCGGGGCTGGAGCTGCTCTGCTGCTGGCCGGTTACCCTGGTTTCCATGTGAGCCTAGAGTACCCTTGGGGATGTTGTATTCACCACCACCCCATAATACCACAGGCACTTCCTATGGGAATTGGGGGATAGGGATGGGAGGAGTGGGAATGAGCCTCAAGTGAACCCCAGTATCATCCTTAGGCTGATAATTGAAAGGTAGGACATTTAAATCATTCTTACGAATTAACTTTTTTTGTTTTGTTGTTTTTATTTCCATGTGGAGCATTACTGACCCTTCTGTCCTTTATTTCTTAGCAACAATTAGCATCCCTCTGATCCCTACCACTATGCTTTGTTGGGGAAAACCTCAGATGTTTGTTTGTTTGTTTATTTATTTATTTATTTATTTATTTATTTTTAAAGATTTTATTTATTTATTTGACAGAGAGAGACACAGCGAGAGA